TACATATTCCCTTGAATTCCTTCTATCAAGTGACAGCCCAGTTCTTATACTTTTGTTCTATGTGATAAGCTTTTCATCCTTTATCTTTATGGTTTTCCCAAAGCTTTCAAAATTCCATAGATGCTCCCTGCTAATTTCTCTCTAAGTGCAGCTTCTTTTGTAAAATAGATCATATAATGTGTCCATTTTAGTTTCTGCTCTGCTCCTGGTAGTTATAGCTCTTGAACAAATGTGGAATTTCTTGGAGCTTTACTTTTCTTATCCTTATAATGCCGTAACAGTAGCTCCTTCTCAGGGTGGTTGTGAGGAGGAATTCAAATGATAGCATTAGACCCTATAAAAGTGCTACAAATATGGTGTTTCTTATTTTGTTACATGAAACATGTAAGAAGAAACCTACCTATTTCAAAACATAGTTAACCCATAACATGTTAAATGTTTATTTACTTCAAATGTTTGCAAAGCAGACACCTTCCAATAATGAATATTTATTTTTCACCACTTTTTTATTGTTGTGGACATAGGATGGTTTGCTTGAGAATTGCTCAGTAGCAGTTTATTTACATAATTTATTTAGAACAATTGTACTGTGAATCTATCTATCAGTGGAAAACTAATGACCAAAGATCCAGGTTTAGATCTTTCAGTTTGCAAAAATTGTGCATGATAGTGATTTGTACCTCTTTACAGAAGTCATCTTTTCAAGTGTGTGGATCCAGTTGGTTTATTCATGCCTTAATTTATTCTTTCATTCAACACTTGCTGTCATCTCCTGGGTGTGCAGCACGCTGCAGAGATGAATAAGCTGAGCACCTTGCACTATTACCTAAATGATCCCTTCTAATGAAGCCACTACTTTTATCATTCCACAGGAAAAAAAAGATTATTTCTATATAGTTACTAATATGCTGCTTCCAGCATTTTACTTGAATTGGAATAAAAAAGACTTTTTGTGTCTGAGGAAACTATCAGAAAAGTAAAAAGCATTGTACGATACTATTAACAGTTATTCTGGTACCCTAAGACTGGAGGAGGAAGATAAATTCACCTTAGAGAGTGCAATGAAGATATTAGGATCCACAATGTGCCTGTTGTTCTCATTGCTTTTGAAAACTGCTATTTAGGTCACCAATTATTTCTTTGTTGGCAAATTGATTTTTTTCTTTCTTCTCTCTTGCATTTAACTCTTAGCAACGTTCTCTCTCTTTTTAAAATTAAGAAAGGTTTATTAAATACAGAAATGAAAGAGAGGGAGACAAAGAGAGAAAGAGAGGGAGATAAATCAGAAATGGAGGCGAGGGGGGCAGAGCAGCACAGATGGCACTGCCCTCCCTCCCGTGTACTAGTGCTGGTTCTCTTGAGGCCCACTCTGCTTCTCTCTTCCTCCAGCCATTCCCAGCCACTGACATTTTCCAAGGCTCAGCATTTCCCTCTCTAGTTTTTGTCGTTTGTAGTTTCTCCTCCAGATCATTGCTATTTTTGAGGTTTTAGTTACTTTGTTTATTCCAATGACTCTCAAACATAAAATCTGTCCTTTTCTCTGCACTGCAGGCTCACATTCCTAATAGGTCTCTTTAAACTCAAATCAAATATATTGTCACTCGTGAAAAATTGAGAGTGCCAAAAATCATAAAAAGGAAAATTAAAATAGAAACATAATAATTTTTAAATACATAATTTGCTTTACTATTTTCCACAATATGCTGACAGTGTTTATATTATTGGCATATGTGATTAGCCATTTCTGGTGGTTCTTTTGGAAGGAAAGAAAGTAGGACTCTTTCAAACAATGTTTTGACAAGATCCAATATCCAAGTGTTGCTCCTAGGCTCTTCTGACTCATTTGGTTGATTTCTATACTTATTTCGAAAAACTCTAAAGGTGATGTTTCCGTTCTCCATTGCTGAGTGACAAGTCACTCCAAGAATTAGTGGCCTAAAACACAATGATTTATTTGTTTTTGAATCATCAGTTTAGGCAGGGCTCAGTGGGAGTGGTTCATCTCTGTTCCACATGGCATTAGATGGGAACTTGGCAGAGGTCACACTATCGAGGATGGCCTCTTAACCTCCAGGCCTCTCTCCGCATGAATTGCTATCATTCAGTAACCTCACTCAATAGTGTCTGGATCCCAAACAGTAAATTCAGAAGGTACCAGGCCTTTTAAAGCTTGGTCTACCCAGTGTTACTTCTGCCACATGATATTAGATCAAAGCAAGTTGGAAGGCCAGCCTAAATTCAAGGGAGGGAAGCAAATAGATGCCACCTCTTAATAGGAAGAATGGTGCATGTATATCAGGAGGGGAGGGATTGGTGGCTGTCTTTGGAGAGCATCTACCACAGGTGGTGGATGAAAATGGCTCATCTCTGAATTTGTGAATAACCCCTGTCAGCTCCAATCCTTGATAAAGGGAACCTTCAGTTTTCATAGCTAAAAAGACACCCCAGATTAAACTCTTGACATAATGGATGTCAAAGTTTATACACAATGCCAAACCTTTCCTTCCATTTTTACAAATTCATTACCATGTAAGCCTTTTGTAGACAATTTTAATTTTATTTTTCAGTTACTAAAAAACTATTATAAGTGGAGAGCAGAATGTCCAGAAATAAGTGCAGATCTACACCCTAGAAGTATTATTGGCCTTCTAAAGGCTGGCTACCATGGAGTCCTGAGATCCAGGGATCCCACTGGCAGCAAAGTTCTTATTTACAGAATTGGTAAGTCATACACAGCTCTCCTTTTTTTCTCATCTCTTCCACTTCAGTTCTATTCTCTCTCCTCTTCCCTCTTTCTTCCATTTTTTTCCCTTGAATACCACATAGAAAGCTTCAATACGTTCATCTTTAGGAATTTGGGCTTTAATTTAAAATTTTGGGTTTTAACTTAGGTTTAATTTGGGTCTTAATGTCCCTGAAATATAATAATACTTTGGCAGTTGTGAGAAAATAAACAGATATAAGTGAAAATCCTAGTTTCATTCTTCCACACAGTCAACTATACGAAAGAAGAAAGGAAAATAGCGAAGATAAATAGTATGTGAATATTTTTTAAAAAATCATGGAAAAGTGTTTCAAAAATGCTTTGTAGAAAGTACAAATAAGAATTCTGAACTCTTGGCCGGGCATGGTGGCTCATGCCTGTAATCTCAGTACTTTGGGAGGCTGAAGAGTGGATCACCTGAGGTCAGGAGTTCATGACCAGCCTGGCCAACATGGTGAAAGCCTGTCTCTACTAAAAATACAAAAATTAACTGGGCATAGTGGTGCATGCCTGTATCTCAGCTACTCGGGAGGCTGAGGCAGGAGAATCACGTGAACCTGGGAGGCGGAGGTTGCAGTGAGCCGAGATTGCACCTTTACATTCCAGCCTGGGCAAAAGAGCAAGAGTCTGTCTCAAAAAAAAATAAATACATAAATACACAAATAAATAAAAAAAAAAAAAAAAAAAAAGAATCTGGACTATAATGCAAACACCGTGAGATTGTGGATTATCTGTTCTGTTTACTGGTGTATCACAAGCACTGAAAACACAGCCTGCTACTTGGTAGTCACTAAATATTTGTGGAATGAGTGAGTGAATGACTAGTTCGAGAAATGCCGCGGGTCGAGGAACAAGAGGCTCATTCCCTTGGTGGAGGAGGGTGCAGAGGAAAGGCAACTCCCCTGGGAGCCGTTGCAGACACTGTATTCCATTAACTCCTGTTTCTTCTCACTGAATCTTCTTTTTATCTATTAGGGGTTGCTAGTGTTTCTTGTAGATTGATGTCTTAGTCTATTCAGGACATTATAACAAAATGCCATAGACTGGGTGGCTTAACAAAACAGAAGTTTTTTTCTCACAGTTCTGGAGGCTGGGAAGTCCAAGATTAAGGCGATGGCAGATTTGGTGTCTATTGAGGGCCTGCTACCTGGTTCCTAGGTAACACCTCTCACTTTAACCTCACATGTTGGAAGGGAAAAGGGGTCTCTCTTGGGACTCATAAGGGCACTAATCCCATTCATGAGGGTTCCATCCTTATGACCTCATAATCTCACAAAGGCCCCACCTCTTACTATCATCGCTTTGGGACTTAGAATTTCAGCATATGACTGTTGAGGGGATGCAAACACTCAGACCATAGCAGTTGGTGACCTATAACTTCTGCCTTCCTCAGACCTGCGTGTGATTAAAAATGGCAGGCACAGAAGAAGAATTCACACTATTCCCAGAATCTCTCATGGCCCCGTCAGAAAGACAGAGATAAACCAACATTTTATGCACAGAATTTTTGAATTACAATCTTACAGAAACATCTACATCTTTAAAGATTTAAAATATTTACATGTTTGCATTTCTTGCCTGTTTATAAGTAAGATACCTACCTATAACTTATCTGCTTGCTATATTGCAAGATGATACTGTATTTAATTTTTGAAAGGATATTAGAAGATCGAGTGAGATGATTTGGGTTTTTTTCCACCCTAGCTTAAGTGTCAAATAAAATTGAGTTAATCATGAAATCCCATCTATAAAACAGACATCACTATCTTTCTGTTCTTTCATTGCTGCACCAGTGTCATAGGAAATTGAATGCGCTCAAAGCAATGAAGTTCCTTGAGCTTCTTAGGGTTAGACTTGCCAGATTTAACAAAGTACTAATGTTTTATTTAGGAAATAAACTTATATGCTATTAAAATAAAGGATGCCCAGTTACATTTGAATTTCAGAGGAACAAATAGTTTTTTAAAGTATGTATAAGGCATTCTTATGTTAAAAATTATATCCTGGTTATCTGAAATTCAACCTTATTTGGGTGTCGTATATTTTACCTGACAACTCTGCTCAGGGGTTTAAGAAGCATAAAACTGAAACCTTCAGCCAGTTCTTTCTGTAAATGTCTTGGCTTTGCATTGCCTGGCTAGATTTTATTGTTTCTAGTTTGTTCATAAACTGACTGAGCCAGGTGAAGTAATAAAAGTGACACCTTGAGAGTGAGAAGCAGATGTGCAGCTTTGATCATAAATACCTTAACACTGAACCAGTAGGGATATTTTCTGGGCCTCATGTAGTACATTAATTTAGAAGTACATTGTTTAACTCAAGAGATCTGAAAATCCGGAAAACATGTAGTTTAGTGATAGTCTCAAACAGGAAAACATGTTGCAAATCTCCTGTATGTTATGTTATTGTGGGATGAAAGGGAGAAACTCAGAAAGTTTTATGAGTAAAATGAAAACTTTTCTAAATTTAATTGAATGAATGGGAGGAGCTAAAAAAGGAAATCTGTGGTGGAGCTTTTTGGTAAAACTTTAGCATAACCATCTCTGTGCAGTAAAAGCAATGAGAAAATGCACACAGCCTTTTCCTCCATGCTGGCTGGGCAACCCAAGGTGAAGGTAAGTTTTGACCTTTATCAGCCAACAGGCTGGAGGATATAATTTTATGTCTTTTGAGATCCCCTAGTATATTACAGCAGCAAAAGTAAAATTTAAGAGTGAGTGTGAAGTTTTGACTGTGGCTTAGCACTTGTGAATACAGGTTCTGGAGCATGTGGCCTGGATTAGAATCTCAGCTGTGCTACATTCTAGCTGTGTGAAACACTATGTAGCTATTACTGCATTTTCTCATCTGTAAAATGGGCATAGTGAAAAGCTATCATGTAGGATTGCTGTAAGCATTAAGTCAATCCATCAGTTTGTCTATCTAAAATATAACAAGAGCATTACCTGGTACATAGAAGCACTCGGTGAATGTTAAGTAGATACTGGAGAAAGAATTAAAAATATAAAGTATATTTTTCTTTTGCCTCAATGGAGCTTAAATTCTAGCCAGCACTATTCAATAGAACTTTCTATGATGATGAAACTGTTCTACAATGGCCACTAGCCTCATGTGACTATTGAGCACTTGAAATGTGACTACTGCAACTAAGAAACAGAATTTTTTTTTCTTAAGCTAGGGTCTTGCTCTGCCACCTAGGCTACGGTGCCGAGGCACAATCATAGCTCACTGCAGTCTTGAACTTCCGGGCTCAAGTGATCCTCCTGCCTCGGCTTCTGGAGCAGCTGAGACAAGAGGCATGTGCTACCATACCCAGCCAGTTTTTTTATTTTTATTTTTTAGAGATGAGGTCTCACTATGTTGCCCAAGAAGGTCTCACTCCTGGCCTCAAGCAATCCTCCCACCTCAGACTCATAAAGTGCTGGGATTATAGGCATGAACCACTGCGCTCAGTGAAACTGAATTTTAAATTTGAATGGCCACACATGGCTAATGGCTACCATATTAGACAGTGTAGGTCAAACAATTATGTTAGTTGGCTCAGAAATTAGGTCATTAACTATTTTTTTGATTGTCAAACTTCATTTGTTCTGCTGGTTTTTAAATCAATATAGTATTCAGCCAATGTCTGAAGTTAGTATAGTATTTTTTTATCTAGGTTATTCATGGGTTGATTATTCACATTCTTATGAGAAGTCTGAGGCTTTTTTTTTTTTTTTTTTTTTTGTTCTGTTGCCCAGGCTTAGAGAGCAGTGGTACTATCTTGGCTCGCTGCAACCTCCGCCTCCTGGGTTCAAGTGATTCTCCTACCTCAGCTTCCTGAGTAGCTGGACTACAGGCATGTGCCACTATGCCCAGCTACTTTTTGTATTTTTAGTGGAGACAAGGTTTCACCACGTTGGCCAGGCTGGTCTCAAACACATGGTCTCAAGTGATCTGCCCACCTTGGCCTCCCAAAGTGCTGTGATTACAGGCATGAGCCACCATGCCTAGCCAGAAAGCTGAGGCTTTTAAAAAACAATAATGCACCTTCTAAAGGATCCATTAATATGAAAGAAAATAAAAATTAAAAAAAATAGCAATCCCATTGTACCTTCTTAGGAATATTTCTGTTTCTTCTTTCTTTGTCTAGATCTTCAACTTTTCCCTTGCTATGACATGCTACAAGTTAACATTTAAATCTGTTAAGGGCCAGCCACCAAAAACAAAACAAAAACTCCTCATCGGTTCCACAAAACCCTCCATCCTCCATTACGTCTATCTCCCCTCTCTTCTCGTTCTCAGCCAGACTCCTTTTGTTACTGATGACCACCATCCACATTTTCTCACAGTTCCTCCTCAGCCCACCCTGGTCTGATTTCATTCCCATCCCTGCTGAAATGAACGTAACCAACTTTCTTTTCACCACATCTAATGGATATGTTTAGTCCTATTTCACCTAACCTCTCAACACAGTGAACCACTTTCCTGTTTCTCAAAAAATCCTCCTCCCTTGGCTTCTCTGATGCCATGTTCTCCTGATGTTTTCCTCTGACATCACTGGCTGCTCCTCCTTAGTCTCTTTTTCTGGCAACTCCTCTTCTACTTATCCTTTAAACTCTGAAATCTTAGGACGTTGGCCTTAGCCTCCTCTTTTTATGCTACTATATCTCTCTGCTTTGATAGAGAAAAACATAGCTCTGAGACAGTCCCTGTTGTGGATCATCATATAAGCACAAACAACCCCCAGATTTGTATCTTCACTCCTATCTTTTCCTTGAGGATCCAGACCCACACAACTAGCTCCTATTCCAGCTGCACCCAGTTAGATATCTCACAGTCACCATTTTAACATGTCCACACTTATGACCTTTTCCACCCAATACGCGCCTCTTATCTCAGTAAATGGTAAAACATGTGCACCGTGGAATTGTACACAGCCATAAAACGAATGAAATTTTCTCCTCTGCAGTAACAGGAATACAGCTGGAGGCTATTATCTTAAGTGAATTAAGACAGGAACAGAAAACAAAAAAACACACATTATCACTTATAAGTAGGAGCTAAACACTGGGTGTTTATGGCATAAAGATGGGAACAGTAGATACTGGAGATGACTAGAGAGGAGAGGGAGGGAGGGGTGTAAGGGTCAAAAAACTAACTGTTGGACGCATGCTCACATACCTGGGTGGCAGGATCATTTATACCTGAAACCTCAGCATCATGCAGCATACCCAGGTAACAAACCTGCACATGCACCCATGAATCTAAAAGCAAAATAAATAAATAAATGGTGCTACCATTCTATCCAGTTCCCCATGCCAGAAACTTTTTTTTTTTTAATTTACTACTACTTAGTTATGAATCTTTTTTTTTTTTTTTCTTTTTCATTCATCCAGGCACTTCAATCTGAAGACTTACATGTGTTTTCAGCTTTGGAGAACTTTTCTCTATTGCTACAATTCCTCTCTGCTCTGTTCTCTGTCACTGCCTTCTAGAACTTTTATCAGTTGGGTATTGAAACTCCTGGATCCAGCTGCATTTGTTTCTTAACTTTTTATTCCTATGTGTCAGCTCTTGGCTCTTTTATGCCAAATTTGAGAGAATTCTTCCACGTGATCTTCCAAACCATTATTCCCTGATTAGCTCTGTCTTTTCTAGCATTTATTCCATCAAATTTTTTGTTTTTGATTATCTTTTTACTTCTAAGATTTCAACTGATTCTTTTTAATAATAGCCTTTTCTTATAATAATGATCTACAGTATTCTCCCCACGCCCTGCTGAAATTATGCTTCTTTAAAAAAATCCTTTAAATTATTTTTTACAGACCGGTTCTTGCTATGTTGCCCTGATTGGACCCAAACTCCTTGGATTCAGTGTCCCCCTTGTCCCCACTTCAGCCTCCCGAGTAGCCGGAATCACAGGAACCTAAACACTGCACCTGCATCTGCCTTCTATTATGTTATTTTGGTGTCTCCTGCTTTCTTATTTTCTCAAGTTGTTGCCTTTGTCTATTTTGTTTCCCTCTCTCTGTGTATGTGTGTGTTTAATATTATATCTTAAGGAATAGATGTCTTTAAAAAAAGATTATCTGCTTGTCCATCCATTACTGTCATTTCTGCATGGCGTGGCCTGTCCCAGGGATGGTGGGGAGGGGTGAGAGGAGTGGACAAGAATCTCAGTAACTCCTCTCTTAGCACAGGTACTCCGTTTTTCTTTGGTGTGGGCAGCTACGTAAGTGCTTCTCTGGCTCTTCTTTCCCAAGCCCTTACTTCGCTTTCTAGCCTGCAGGGACATGAGTCTGCTACGTGCTACTTACCACTGGAAGGCTGTTGAGGAATCAACTTGCCTATCTGTTCCTCACGAATTTCCCTTAGCAACCTCTTTAGTTACTGTGGGGTCTTAATTGCTCTTTATAATCCAGGCCCTTGCTTTTCCCATTTCCAACACCTCTGAGCTTGGAGCATACACAATGGCATTCCCATCTTTATGTGAGGTTGTGACTTCATCTTGCAATCAGATTCCGCCTGCATCCAATCCTTTTCTCCCCATACTCTTAAATAGCCATTCTTTGCTAGGAGTTTGAGGAGGGAGGGAGAAGCAGGCACATGCTCTTGGACCCCAGTTGGATTATTCAATTCATGATCTTCGTACATGTTTCTATTTCAACTGATCTTTTAAGTTGAAAATAAATTAGTCTCCCTTTGGAAATCTGTCTAATTTTTTACACAATGCTAAGATACGATATGCTTTATTTTTTTAGCACACTGGGACCCCAAAGTTTTTACAGCTTATGATGTATTTCGAGTAAGTCTAATCACATCCGAGCTTATTGTACAGGAGGTGGAAACTCAGCGGAATGGAATCAAGGCTATCTTTGATCTGGAAGGGTGGCAGTTTTCTCATGCTTTCCAAATCACTCCATCTGTAGCCAAGAAGATTGCTGCTGTACTTACGGTAAACGTATATTTTAACTGTCAGGCATAATACTTCCAAATTACAGTTTTAAATTTTGTTACCAAAGAGGAGCAAATGTACATTTATTAGAAATTTAAATACAATTTTGGAAATGATATGTAGAATTCAATAATGCTAAGAGGAAGTAGAGTATTACTAGTTTATAAAAGAAAAATGTTGCAACAAACTGCAAAAATATGTTCAAATTAGTAGCGAGAAGATTTATGCATCTTTACAATATGTGGTGACTTTATATTTTTGTCATTAAAAGCTTTTTTCCTAAATTAAAAAATTGATTTAAAAATATGTAGCAATGGCACAATAAAATGTCACATAATTCTTCATAGCTGTATATTGACACTTTTTTTCATAAATCAAAAGATTTTTAAAGTGATCATCATCTTTGTCCCAATAATTCTATTTCTGGGAAACTAGCTAAGGAATAATCTTTAATATATTAAAGATTGTATGTAATAAGAATAGCTAACTATGTGCCAGGTACGTTGCTAAGTGTTTCAAATGCATTAAGTTTTAATGTCCACAGTGAGCCTATGACATATGACTATAGTATTTTCCCACTTTACAATTAATAAACTGTATTCAAGAAGTGACATAGCAATGCCCAGGTACACACAGTTTGTCAGTAGTGAAGTGAGAATTCCAGCCCAGGTCACCTGAATGTAAAAGTTGTGCTTATAACCACCACTCCTCCTATACATAAAGACAGTTACTGCATCATCAATTTCAGTTAAAAAAAAGAAAGGAAATGGTTTATTAGTCCAGAAAATAGAAAAATTGTTACTCAAACAATGGGACATTCATTTGGTGGATTCTTGCAACAATAATAAAATATGTTATTTGCAAAAACTGTATTATATCAGTGAAACACAACAGAATGAAAATTTTTTTTTTTTTTTTTTGAGACGGAGTTTCACTGCTGTTACCCAGGCTGGAGTGCAATGGCGCGATCTCGGCTCACCGCAACCTCTGCCTCCTGGGTTCAGGCAATTCTCCTGCCTCAGCCTCCTGAGTAGCTGGGATTACAGGCACGTGCCACCATGCCCAGCTAATTTTTTGTATTTTTAGTAGAGATGGGGTTTCACCATGTTGACCAGGATGGTCTCGATCTCTTGACCTCGTGATCCACCCGCCTCGGCCTCCCAAAGTGCTGGGATTACAGGCTTGAGCCACCGCGCCCGGCTCAAAATGAAAATTATTTAGACAGCATTTTAGCAATTATGCTTAAAAGAAAATTATGCATAGAAGGGACCTGGAAAGACAGTTTCGAAATTAATAATACATCTCTGAAAGTGATGTATGAAAACAATAAAATAACTTCACATAAAAGAACCTTGGAATGAAAGGTCTCTGTATTAATAATACAACTTTTAGGTAGGAAAACTGTTCTTTTTCTTCAACTCTTAATTTTTTAAACTTTCTGAATAAGCCTATATTACTTTGATGCTAAAGGCATATACCAGTGCCAAAGTTTATAAGTGTGTGTTTATTGTGCTAGTCTTTCAATATTTGCTGATTTTTTTTCTCAAAATAAACATTTTTGGGAAAAAACTAATATAAATTTCCAAATGACTCATTGGTTCATTAGAACATGTGTATGTGATTGGGAAAAGATTTTCTGGTGAAAGCGTGCAGATATTTCATAAAATACTTTGCCCAATCTATAAAGATAAACCTTTTTAGAGATCTTTTCTTAACCTAGTGATAGTGAACTGTAAGCTAGGCTTTTGTGTTGATGGAATAAATAATTTTGAAGATAAAATCACACTTTAGCTACTTCGGTAAGTTTAGCAAGTGTTCAAAGAAGAGACTTGTCATTAGGTATAGGACTGTAATATTTGTGTTTTGTTATTAAGTTTTTTTTTTTTTTTTAATTTTCAAAAGGATTCATTTCCATTGAAAGTTCGTGGCATCCATTTGATAAATGAACCAGTAATTTTCCATGCTGTCTTTTCCATGATCAAACCATTCCTGACTGAAAAAATTAAGGAACGGGTAAGTAAAACATATTCAAGTCTGTGTCCCTCTACACCAGACATTCCGACCCTTTTTTATTTAAGGATTGTTTTATCATCTTTCCTTGTAGCTGCCCATCTATATCATTAGCCCAATATTTTGAATATTTATTTAACAAGTCAACTACTTTTCTAAATTAAAACTTACTTTTAATTTAGAAAAATCAAGTATATTGGTTGTAAGGCTGTGGGGTAACTGGGCTTTTCATACATTGCTGGTTGGAATGCATAACGGTATATTCCCATAGAGGGCAGTGTGGCAAAGTCATCAAAATCACCATCTCGAATTACCTGTAGATAAACAAAATTACATAAACTAGAGGAGCCACTGCAGCAGAAGACTGAAAACCAGTAAGTGTTCACCATTAGGGCATTGGTTAAATAAACATCTACACAACAGAAAACAACAAGATTGCAGGATGTTTTGTGAACTGAAACAAACTGAAATAAACAAAAAGCAGAACAGAGTGTATGGCATGCTACCTTTTGTATACAAAGGGGAGAAATAAGAATATATTTCATAAATTTACATTAAAAATATACCCAGGTATTGATCGACTTACCACCTATGCAACTTACGACCATTTGACTTTAGGACCACAATCGCTAGCCACGACTGCTCTGCGTCTGGCAGCGCAAACGTTGCCCAGCTGGGTGTGCGACAGTGCAGACCAGCTTCCAGCAGCACTACCATCTCCGCGTGCACCATTTCAACTGTACACATAGCCTACTCAACTTACGACCAAATCGTGTTACGACCGGCCCGCAGTCCCGACCGTGGTCATAAGTCGAGCACTAGCTGTATACAAAAAATAATGTAAGCAGATGTCTATAGGGAACAAGAGAAGAGGTGTGAACTACAGTAGATGAGAATAGGTTTGGGAGCAAGCTCTCTTACTGTGTATCTTTTATGTTGCTTTGATTTGTAACCATGTGAATTTACTATTAATGTAAATAAAAATAAACATTTTTCTTAAACAGTGAAACATAATTAACACTTTCAGTGTAACTGAAAACCACAGTAACTGAGGTATGTGACCTAATGTCACACTAGTTAGAGCAAAGACACTGGATTTTCTTTTTTAACCTACCCTATGGAGGCTTATCTCAGAAAAAAACATCTCGTATCTCTTAGAGTTTTTGAAAGGTTGAAAATAGAGTCTGCATTCTCAAGAATGGCAACCATTCTTCTAAATTAATATGTGAAGGATAATTTTTAGAGCATCTATTTAGACAAACATTGGCATCATCTAATGCCTTGAACACAAAACAGTTTGTAAAGGCTTTAACAATTTAAATCTAAAAAAATATTGAAATGTCAACAGTGATAATATGAACTGTAGTAGCACATTTAGAATTTTAGAAACAACATTCTTTCTTATTAAGGAAATATAACACACCTGGTCAGAAAGTTATGACCCTCAAGCTTCTTTAGAAGTTATCCAGTGAATATTTCTGTTTGTCTTCAAGAACCTCCCTTAAATTGCCTGCTTTAGCAAAGATGGACACTTTCAGCTACTGTTTATTCTAGTATTTTTAAACAAGTCAATTTTTTTGTTTGTTTATATTTTTCTCTCTTCAGTGTAACTTGATAATAAATAGTTGACTATTCTCTGTTTAACGCCTAAAGATACAAAAATAAGTATTCCTATTTTGGGCTAAATTTTAGACAAAAAACAAGAATAAACTGAACCTAACAACTAAGAGAATATGGAGAAAAAAGAAAGAAAAGTAAAAAGTTGAGAAGTTAGAAGAAGGAGGTCAGTGAAAGTTAGTTGACATGAAACAGACTTGCCAAAATAGGGAGAAAAAAACGGATCCAGCCACTTTTATCTTTTTCTTTTTTTTTTTT